TTTATGTTAGTTTTATACGCGCAAACTTTTATTAATGTTAACCTTCTTGCTTGGAGCAAGTTCTTAACTTATCTAAACTTAAAATGCACATTTCGAAATTATTAGAAGATAGAGTTTTTATTGACAATTTAACTGGAAAGTTTAAATGGCGGACGTGGGTAATACCTAAAGTTATAATTTGTTTTAGTAAAATTAAAACGAACACATAAAAATACCTACATAAGTTCATTAATAAAACTAGCCTTGGAGTTATAACTGTTGTATTTGCTACTCAAATGTAATTTTCCTAGCATTGATTTTTGATAGGTTTGTCTTTTTTTCTTTTTATGTAAAAATCAGTTGTGGTGAGTTTGATATGGGCTCGACGTAAGGGCTGTGACGGACAAGTTAACCAGGGTTAAATATACATGCAAATTTAAAATGGTCGGATCATGTCGCCCCAACGGCCGCAAATAGAATTCGCTATTTGTAATTCTGCTTGAAACTTTACACTTAACACCAGCTCGTACGAACATCGGAATCAATTAATTAAATATACGCAATTGAGGAACCTTCTTGTGAAAAAACTTAAAAACTAAATATAATTAAGTACAAAGTAGCCCAGTACCAAAAAAATTGTATTTAAGAGAAACTGAGCATTTATGGGTAAAAATTTCTACTCCTCAACGATTTTATTAAGCATGTATTAAATATGTTTTTAAAAGATTTAAGAATAATTTTAATTAATTTTTTCATACAAGTAAAAAACTATTTTATTTTTAAGGAAGTCCTGAACTTAAAAGTATTACCCACCTTCAAAACGCCCATTATCGTTTATGTTTTTAGTGGCCTTATGGCCTTTTAGACACGGGCTGAAGTTAGCAACAGGTTTTTAGTCACAAGCTGAAGTTAGTTTTAAGTTAGTTAACTGTTGTTAAATGTCATACAATCGTTAAAATAAAGTGCCCTTCTTGTGAAATAATAATGTAAAAATTATTTTATTATCTTAATACAAAAATAAAAAGTATTAAATAGTTTCTCAACGCCAATACCTATTAATTATTAATTATAAACTTGCATATAAACTTTTCAAATTTGAAGTTTGTACTGACGTTTTGATTTGGCCGGAAATAAACTAGATTTAACTGAAAGCATTACAAATTTCGGTTGAAGATTCTCTTTCACTGTTGTTGGTCCATTTTCAAGAGATAAATTTCGATTTACACAAACAAATTTAACATTTTGACTGGCGCGCCGGTAATACTGATTTCCAAGTTAGAAATTGTTATGCGAGTTACTTTATTTTTTTTATAGATATCGCTCTATACAAATATTTAATTTAAATCATTTTTAGATAATATATTATAAGAATGATTTGCCGAAGAAAAAAATTATTATGCAACTGATTTCAAAAAAATTCTAGACACTCATTTAATTAATCACTCGCTCGCACGCTTGCTTGTGCCTAAATTCGTGACTAAAATGGCGTTTATCAAACTTGATACATAATATACTATTATCTGCTTCCACATTGACAATCTGTTGCTTTATGGCGTTTTAGTAACATGCTGATGTTATCTTTATTAAAACATACCTTTTGTTCATCTTAGATAAAAGTATAGTCAAGGATACATGAGACAGGATAGTCAACTTTGCTTAAAATAAGCGTGCCGTATATTCTTGCGGTTCTGGACGGTGCTTTCTCGTAAACTAATATAATTTTTCCAATAGCCGTGTTCCTTTTACGGTAAAATTCACCCCAAAGATCAAATAAACGAATTGTGATTGTCAGTCAAAAATCAAGTTTGCTTAAAGCAAGCCCACAACTATAATGTATTTATTTAGCATCAGTGCTATATAAAAATAACAATTTACATATTTACATAAAAAAATAGAAAGTTTACAATCAGAATTTGAACAAAACATTTTTATAAATGGAAAATTAAATCTTAATTAGACAAAATGCACATTTAGCTTAAAACAAATTTTCTCAGAAGTTTTTTCAACTGATATATATTAGCACAGTTTATAATATTCGCTGGTAGTTTATTAAACTTAAAAACCTTAAACCTTTGAATAAAAACATTTGTGTGGTATTAAATAAGTATCTAGTAAAATAAAGTCTGAACAATTTCCAGTATAATAATTATGTATATCTCTAAAAACTTTTAATTGATCACAGATATATTCAGGTAATAGATTTTGTTTTAGTTTAGATATAAATAAATTTACATTAAACATAATTCTTTGTTTCACAGACAACATGTTTAGGACACTCAACATGGATATAACAGGTGTATAACGGTTACATTTTAATATCATTCTCATAGCTCTATTTTGAATTTTTTATCTAACTGGCTTTTTTATATTGTGGCAAATGAAACAACAACTGGAAGAATATACGGTATGTGTATATCGATATTTGGTTTTAAAAGGTTTTTAGTTTTTTTTCAAATATTTTGATGTTTATTTTAATTTATAAATTTTATGTTAATAGGGTTGTAAAAACGCAACTTTTCTTAAATTTAACCAACCTTGAAGCTCAAATAAAAAAATACCCATAGAAGTATACACATAGAAGCATACTTATTTAATAACCCATATTAGTTCTTCAAATTTTAATTAAAATAACTAGTTTTAAATGTAAATATTATGTTGCTAATTTCTTACAAACCTAAATCTAAATAAATGAATAAAAATCTAAAAAATATGTAGTTGGTTATGATCAGGTTGAAAAGACCTTTTAACAGTTAAAAAATAAAAGTGAGCGCTTACTGTATAGGTAGTTAGAATTTAATAAATGTTAAATGCAAAAATGTTCTATTAAATTTACAAAAATAATTTATCACCCAAAACAAAGGGGGCCAAATGAATTAAATAAACTGATAAAACAGTCAAAATGTCTTATTTTTTTTTTAATTTATTCCTTGGTATCACACTTTTGCTTAAATTAAAACGTCCAGATAATTTTGACTAATTTTATTACGGAATTAAACCGTAAGCATAAAAAACGATGAAACAAAAACAACAAAATTTCCATAGATAAGTTTAGGCAAGCACCAATCCATTTGATTAAGGGGCTTTTTAAACTCCTCTTTTAAGCTATGTTCCTATCATTGAGGCTTTTATATTTAAATGCAAATTGGCCAGCTGTTAAACTCCGTATTTTAACTGCCCTACCTACGCATCGTTTTAAGACAGTAAAATTAGGGACTAAAGATATTTTTTTAATCAAATAGTGGTGCTTCAGTGAATTAAAGTTAATTAATAACAAAAAAAAAGTTTATTGTATGTTTTTTAAAGTTTTATTGAAAGAATATCCACATTTAAACCAAAGGGCCTACGCCATAAAAATCTCCATTTACTACACTCACAGGCAAAAGAATCGATCCACACAAACTTTCGATGAATTTCAATCGCAAATAACTTTTTTATTTGATGTCGGATTAAAATGAATATTAAAGAATATTGTAGATACATTCATGGACAATCGCTCACATTTAAAAAAATTACTAAAAAATAGACGTACGTTTATAATATACAGGTTTAAACAAAAAGATGTTTTTACCATAAGTTTAAGACACTCTGTAGAGTGGCAAAACCGTATATTGTTCTAAATTAAGTTTTAATTATCAAGTCACATCTATTTTTAACAGGTTTGTTTTTGGTTCACCTCGATATATTTATTTTTGTGGAAAATATGGATTTTTTTTTAAACAGCTTTCAAAAGCTATCAAATTGTTTTTTGTAAATTAATGTGTTAATTTTGAGGTGTCTTCTTACTTTTAAAAATGTCTCCGACTGATGTTGCCCTTTGTACTTTACTTCTTGTGGCGTTTAAAACACTTGTCACGTAATACTGTGACCGTCCATCCTGGATTAAATTAATGGCTCTGGCAACATTAGTCGGAAACATATTCAGTTTTTAAAGTAAGAAGACACCTCAAAATTTAAACATTAATTTCCAAAAACCATTTTGATAGCTTTTGGAAGCCGTGTATGACATGTCCAAGTATGAGATGATTCAACAAAACTGTTACTCCTCCATAGGCTATGGGTGGACCATAGCAACCTTAGTTCTTTATACAGAAAAATATTGGAAATTGCAATGTTTTTTTTTTAAATCCATATTTTTCACAAAAATAAATATATCGAGGTGAACCAAAAACAAAACTGTTAAAAATAGATGTCTTGATAATTAAAACTTAATTTAGAACAATATACGGTTTTGCCACTCTACAGAGTGTCTTAAACTTATGGTAAAAAAAATATTTTTGTTTAAACCTGTATATTATAAACGTACGTCTATTTTTTAGTAATTCTTTAATATTCGTTTAAATCCGACATCAAATAAAAAAGTTATTTGCGATTGAAATTCATCAAAAATTTGTGTGGATCGATTATAATTATTTTGCATGTGAGTGTATATCTAAATATATTTTCGAGCAAATTATTTCGACATAAAATTAAATGACTTGGGTTATGAATAAAATAAAAACTAGCATATTTTTTTTTCGTATCTTCCAGTCAATTAATTTTAACATTTGTAAAGTTAACATCAGTTACACAAATTTGTAACTTCTGCATGAGAAATTACATTAGCAAAATCATTTTGCTTTTTAATTTGAATTTATGCCAACCGTTTTCACAACTTTGCCAATATTTAATCCGGAAATCGAAATGGTAAATTATAGAAAGTGTTTGATAAGTTATTCTTAAACCGTACTTTATTAAGATATTTTTTATTTTTGTTAGATTACACTGGTCAAAACTATTTCCTATAAAAATGATATTTTTAACGAAATAAATTAAAAGTTTAGACGACTTTTAAAAAGGTTAATAAAATTGTTCGATTTTAATGACATTTGCAGTTTTTGTAGCTCCATTTTTTTGTTGTTTTAAAATTTGGCACAAATTGTCAAATTTTGTTGTAAATTTTTTGGAGTAGAAACATTGCTTATAAAAAAATAAAAAATACAGCTTTTCAAAGTATTAATTTTTTAATTTAAGTAGGGAAATACCTTCAAAAATTCAATCAATATTTTTTCCTGAAAGCTGAAAATTTTGTAAACAAAATTTATCATTTTTATGATGGGTGAGTATTTGTAAATGCTTAAAAAAATATTTTATTTAAAGCCCTTTGTTTAATGCATACAGCTTTATATCTGACAACATAAACCTACTTTATATAAATATTTTAGTCACATAAACATTTTAGTTTTATGCAATGTTCTAAATGTTTTTTATCTGAAATTTACAAAATATGAATACCTTAATCCCTTTTGAATGTTAAATATTACAATAACTTGTTTGACTGGTGGATTTTCGGTAATAGGAATTTAAAAACTAAAATTTGCGACAAAATGTAATTATTTACACTTTTAGTTTTTTTTTAACCCAAAGTGTCATAAATTACATCTGTAAAACTCAGCTCTCTCATTTGATTTACTTACAAAATAATAGTGATGCAATTTTTATAAATTTAGCTTATAAGATATACAGGATGTTTCACATTCGTTGTCCATTGGAAGTTTCTGTTCTATTTTTATAAAATATTTTAAACAAAATGTCACTTTCAGTTTAACCAAAAGTGACATGAACTTTGTTATTTCAAATATATTTTTAAATTCTGTATAAAATTTTACTAAAAGTGACATAAACTTTGTTATTTCAAATATAATTGTACATTTTTAAATTCTGTATAAAATTCTAAATAAAATTGTCCTATACCTTAAGTGGATAGTTTTCGCGTTAAAAGAAATATTGTTTGTATTACTTTAAAATTTTCAAAATGTTTGGCTTGTCTATTGATTTTTTTATCAGTAATTTTGTTTATAAAAAACTTAGTTCAATTGTTTATACCAACCTAAAAAATTTTAAACAATGACAAATTACGTGGTAACCATCATATAGTAAATTTAAAAGGAAACGGCGTACACGTCATCAATCAGCTGATCGGGCACGGTTGTCAATGTGATGCTAAAATCATTGCATCAAGTGAAAGTGGTAGTGCAACTACAGGGCGATGGCGTTTACGTGAATAATACCATTGGGTCCCTAGATTTGGGACCTTGAAATACAAAAATGTCAAAAGTCAGAGTTTTTATAACCTACACTGTTTAAAATATCTGTGGTGTAAAGAGTATACTCAAAAACAGTGTTTGTTTTTTTATCCAGTTATATATTATTAAGATTATAATCTTAATAATATATAACTGGATAAAAAAACAAACACTGTTTTTGAGTTTCACGAATTTATTTAAATTATCCAGTTATATATTAGTGACATGGAGTTTCATCAAGTAAAGGTCGAAACAATAAAATGAGTAATCTTAAAATGGTGTCAAAATCCAACACCCAGTGGTGTTAATATAAACACCATGAATTATGGTTGAAAATGTTATATACAGCAAACACCAAAACGGTGTTTATCTAAAAATATTTAAGAAGTGCACCTACACAGAAAAAAAGGAATCGTTCATTTAACTATATTAATTTAGTTGACCCATACGTATTTATTTAAATCAACTGTGGGAAGGTTAATATAAACAAAGATTAGTTTGACGGTACTAAACCAGGTAATTAATTTTTTTTTTAAATTGGTTAAATTAACCCGGAAAACTTTAGTGAAACCAACCCGCTGTATGGTTTAGTTTACTAAATATGTTTTTAAATAAGAGTTACTTCAACCTAAAGCCCTCTGTTAAAACGATTAAAACAATTTGCCGTGCATTCCTGTGTGCAATGCACACTGTGCATAGTGTGTACCGATCGCGGCAAAGGCGGTGTGGATCACGTGATGTTCTTAAATCTCGCCTCTGTTGTCTTACATGAAGAGTATATAAGCTCAGGTAGTCCTTTGCTTTGGTGTTACACTACAAGTTGTTCGATACTAAAGAGACCTTAAATAGGTGGAAACAGCTGTCAATACTTGAAGTATTTTAAGTTGGTGAAACGCATAAAAACATTATCTCTAGCGAGTTGAAGGTTCAATTTTCTGGAATAATACCACTGGTAATATACTGGTAATGCGTCGAGGAACTTTCTGTTTCCTTTTTTTCCTTTTTTTTCTGTGTAGTATTATTTAATTTGACCAAAAACACATAATATTTAACACTAAAAAGGAGTTCAATTTACACCAGGTAAAATTTATTTTAATACTGTGTGAAAGTTAAATTTACTTACTATTTTAGTATTTGAATTTACACTGGACCAACGAACCATATTTAACACCATTTTGGTTTGTATCGATATAGACCATGTATGGTGTAAATTTGGTGTTAAAATGGTCATGAAATTTTGAACAGTGTATATGATGCACCGCCTAAAGTATATTTTTAGCCATTTTTAAAGACATTTTCAGCTATACATATAAATTATTATTTTATGTATCCAACATATATTTTGTTAAATATTCTAATATAAAATAAATAATAATCCCATTTACCTCTCTAACAGCTGTTAAAGGTAACAAAGCTCTATTCTTATCCCGTTCTGCCTCAAAATAGTGTATTAAGGATGAAATCAACTCTTCACTCCGACTATTTATATGCTTCGGCATTTTAAATATAGGAAAAACAAAAAACGATATATAACAAACACAAAAAACCGCAATGAAAACTTAAACGATATAAAATAACACAAACAACATACAAAATAAACGAAATTATACACGAATTAAACGAAATATTCAAAAACACAACTTACAGCTTCGAAATTCTAAAACGTCAATTTTTTTTCTATGCGTCATTTTATTAAGCAAAACTTTAATCTAAACATGACAACATTGCAATTGCTGCCAACTTAATTTGGTTAAAATGCATTAAAATATTCAATTACAGATTTTGTTTTATACATTTATTATTGGTACCAGTGCGCAAAATTATGACGTCATCGATGCCGTGTACGTCGTTTTCTTTTAAATTTACTATACTGTCACAGGTTTCTTGATACAAAGTAATAATTAAAATTTTAGAAAATGTTAAATATCTCTTAAATTATTAACTTTAAGTATAGGGAATACATACATGTTTTTTAATTTACCATTTCATTATTTAAAAACATACCGGGTGTTATATTTAAAATAAAAAAGTTATTAACTTTTTAAGTTTCAAGCCTAATTTGCCCTGGGTTTTCTCAGGTAATTTGTTAAAAAATGGTAAAGAATTAACATGGATATTTTCAAACAATGTTTAAGAATTCGAAAAATTCCACACCCATATTTGCAAACCTAAGTTTGATTGACGCGCATTTGTCAAATTTTAACAAAAAAAATAATAACTCGAAAATTATTCACTCAGAATTTTATGCAGAATTAAAAAATGTAAAAATATATGGGGTATTTTATTGGAAATAACAAAGTTGATGGCATTTCCGGTTAAACCGGAAGCGGCATTTGGTTTAAAATATTTTAGAATAATAGACCTCAATGGATAATAAACGCTTTTAAATCGATATCTTTTTCCGTTCTTTAGAAACTTCTAGTGGACCATGAATGTGGAACACCCTGTATAGCATTGCCAACAGAAAAATAGCTCATAGTTGTGTGCATATCTTGTAAATTACCCTGTATATTTAATTTTTTTCAATAGTATGATAAGGAGTCAGCGAAGTTTTTTAAAAGAGTAAAAATAAACCATAAACAAAACATATAATTTTTTATAGAGGGTCATATAATGAAGAAAATATTATATATTGCTATACGAGCGAACCCGAAATAATCCGGGGGATAAGGTTGATATATACGCCATCATATTTATGTTATATTCGAACAACAACTGCTTTATATCCATCGACATAAAGGAAATAGACGTGTCAGACAAATTTATAACACTGCTTTGTTAGAAAACCGAGATTTAATATAAATTTTAATTATAATATACGCAACGTTTGAAATCAAAGAGCACAGAGCAAACAAAAGTTCCTTTTGTATTAAAATATGTGTTGAATATATATAGGTAGGGTTTGCCACTACGTTCGAAAAAAAAATCTTTGAAATTTACTGTCATTCTGGTTCAATAAAATTTAAAACAAGAATACTTAATATAGGACTCTAAAAAAAGTACAAAATATTATTATCTAGAGTTACTCCTCCTTTATTTAGTCTTCTTGGTTTGAAGTTTTACCTCTACCTCTTATACTCATTCTCGTACTTTATACGAATTTAATCTTGTTTTAAGTTGACTTTAATGAATAAAATATACATACAGGGTGTCTACAGTTCCACAGGTATACCAGAAAATTGTTTGAAAAATTCTACCTTTATATTTAATAAACACTGTTATAAACATTAAATTTGTTAACATTAGTTTGTAGTTTGTTAATTTTATTTTGTAAAATTTAAATATATTTTTTTGTAAAAACCAGGGTTTTGTATTTATCTTAACACATGAAAATTTTTTATTAAGGTTATAGGCAATTTTGTAAGCATTTAGTTAGGTTGCAGATTATTTTGTTAATGTTTAACAAATAATTTTGTTGAAGAAGTACACGTGATTTCAGGCAGTCAATAAAAATACTTCTCACTGACAATACGCATCAACAAGTTCAACTGACTTCAGCGTCTGCAACTTATGTTTCTGCTTACTTTATTATAATTCGTAACGTGTTCGTAACAACTGTCCAGATTGTTTATAATATATTACCAGAAATATGTTATTATTTTTATTCAGATTCCCTATATCTATTTAACCAGTGCACTGCAGTGTGCGAAGTGCGAAGTATCCGAAAAGAGATGGGTTAAAGTTACAAAATACATAAGTAAGTGTTGTAGTAGTACTGATAATTATATTGTATCATATTTCTTTATAATTTAATGATTTCAGAATGGTGTGTTATTTAATTGTGTGTATGTTATTTTTGTGTTCATTTATGTAGGTATGTGTTAATTTTTGTATTTGGGTAATTGATGAATAAAGCAAAATTTTAAACTTTTAAAAATATTGGTTTTGGCTTGTTTATAAATATTGTTTCAAGTCTTATATAGATTGGGCAAAATCTACATAATAATTTAAACAATGGTTTTATTAGGAATTAATGGGAAATTGACATCACACCATAGACAATGATTGAGAGTTGAAGTTTA